CTCGTACAGCAACTGTTACAAACAGCACCAGACCTTTAATTTAGGAAAACGAAATCAACTCTGTGGCTTAGAAGATCATTATAACAATTGATAATCGGGTTACGGGGACCGGAAGTCAATTTAATTAAACTACCGAATGGACCGATGTGATCTTTAGTGAAGAGAAGAAGTTTAGCCTTGATCGTTCGAATATACCGTTGAGATGATGATCTGCGTAGGAGCAGTTTGGGCGTCGATCGTTTGAAGTGCCACGTTCCCCGATGAAACTGTGGTGAGTCAACCATCCGAGATGACGCCAACAAAGCGCCTACGCCTGCCAGTTTCTGGACATTGAGCCACATACCAACAGTATCGATCAACCAACAGCAATACGATTCAAACAGAAGTCGTGGGACTCGAAGAACGAGAACGGTGATTAACTGATGTTTGATTGACCAATCATATTTCTATTTTCACAATATTTAATCCCACTGTTTTCTTTCAATGAGTGATCCGCTACTTCAATGGCATTTTCTCTGCCTCTTGGTGGCGGGAGATTCCAGTGCACAATTGCTAATGTGATCTTATGCTTCAGTTGAGACCGTAATTCGTGATTCATAATTAATAACTACTTCACAGATTACAGAAACGTAACAGTTAGTGTGTTCTCCAAAGAAACCATACAGCCCAATCTGACCATGATACCACGACCGAGTTTCTGTTCCCACGTTTCCAGAAAATCGATAAGAAACCATGGGCTCCAAATACCACAATGAATCTATAAATGAAACTCACCTCAGTGTGATGTGGTTGCCACATAGAAATATAGAGACCATGAACCTCATTCACGGCGTCTATTCATTAGTTATTTACTAATGAAAAACAATCAACCTTCACTGATGGAACATTGTGAAAGTTCAAATAATCCGGAACCTTGTTGCAATTATACTACTGCCGTTGGAATAATAACACTGAACGCGCAATACGAATTACGGAATAGGAATCATTGATTAGCCTTCAAAGGAGTAGTGGTTCGCTTATTGAAATAAATAAGGGGGATCATATAATACGTAAAAAACAAACTCATTGGTCATCCGGGCATTTGCCAATCGCGTTCTAGTATTTCTGCCGTTATTCAGCTTCTGTTTGGGCCACACGGTTCCTGATTGGTTGATACAATCGACCTGTGGTATGTAGTCCAGAAGCTGTGGCATGCTTGGCACGCTTTGTTGACGTCACCTATGAAGCTTGATTGATCTTAGTCGTCCAGGGTATTCGTAATCTCGCAGGCTTGGATCACCGCAGGATTTTCTCATTCCGTGCCCCATATAAATATCGTGATGGAGTCAGTGAACGACCGATGTAGCCCACGGACCCACTAATCCTAAAACACACTGACTTTCGTTCAGCAATAATCCGCACTCTTACCGATATACTCCACACCGACTCCACCTTCATTTTTGAGTAAGATATGCTTTGTAGATTTTTCCAGTTATATAAGTAAAGGTTAGAAATAAAAACATCAGCAGTGTAATATCTGATCTGTATTATAGTTACAGAGGTGACCGAAACATAAATATATATATATATCCATTCCTATTGAGCTTCACTACACCTTGTATTGAAAACAGAGGCCTATCTACGAAGCTGGAAACGTGCCCTCTACGGGTGAATTGTCGCTGATCAGAGTATAGTTGTTACATGCACGTGGGTTTACGTAGGAAGGACACTGTGTAGTTTTGCAGACTACATTTCCACTAGTTATCTGAAGCAAAAAGCGGCGTATGAACGAACAGAAAGTTACCACAATAATTGGATTTCCGCGAGTGCAACACCGATTAACGTTTGGTTCTTAACAGTTGATCTCAGGCAAATACAGGCCGATAATCCACAGGACTCTGAACGCAATACACATTGCTTGGAACTCTGCTTTGACCAATGTGAATGAAGAGACAGAGCGGCGGACGATATTCACCCGAGTTCAACATTGCCCTATTAGTGGTCAAGTGGTTGATGCCAACCAAATAGTGAAGGTCTGAAGGCCTCGAGTTTGAATCCCGCCCAAACCATTCATCTTCCTCATTTCTGTATTTCCTCAGACAGCCTTTGCACAAAAGTGGCCCCTTCCTGGGAGTTTTTTTATAGCCAGTAAAAGAAAAAGGAATTGAAACAGTAATCCTTTTATTCCAGCCAGCTTCATATATGAAGTAGTGTGATTACGATTTATGTGAAGGAATATTTCGGACCAATATTCATTTTCTCCACCATTCCTGTGGGTTTAACTTCATGGTTCAAAGCATACTCACTAGTCATCTCGTTTCCATGATCATTGTTTGGGACAGTACAAATAAATACAGGCAGTTTACGTTCATCTGGACTTTGCGTATCCCTTAATTTCCCTCACTCTCTCAAACTTTTGGGGACATTCTATTTGCAACTATGTTCCACTTATCAACCAAAAAAACAATCGAACAGTTTTACTCCCACGTCCAGCGTTTAATTTTTCATTTTCCTGCTAGCACTATCGTATACCTTCGAGGCCGGCTCATTAGTTCTCTTGAACTGCTCCGATCTGCGAACCACAGAGTTCACAAGGATTCGGGATCCATTTATCCCGTCGCTGGCCTACGGCATCTTTCACTCTCCTGCATGACTTGCTTCTTCGTCCTTCTCGAAATTCACAATTCTAAATACATAGGACCAGCTTTTATTTGTTTGATCAGCTCCATCCTCTCCCCCCTCCCTACACACACCATCTTTTCATCCATAGTCGAATTTGGGCTTACACACAATAGCAACGCAACCGCTTGACTTCTTGGTTCTACTAACCTTTGGATGTCAGGTGAAACAACAGAGAAATCAGTACCAAAGATCCCCGAACCACCATTTTCAATGCGAACAATAGTATACAGAAACGGTTACAATAAATGAGTCCTGACATCACAGTCATGCTCAGATTGGGGACAAGAGAGAAATGTACGTTACCCTCCCCCACATAAACAGGCCCAAAACGCTGAAACAAATAAATGAATGATTGTTTATTAAGTAACGAATGCAGTGAGCATGTTCACTAGGTAATTAATTACCTTCGAGCGATTCCTCGCTTGAATGGTGGATATTTCGGCATCGACCGTCCCCCAACACCTGTAACCACTGGCCGCATGCCCAAACGTGGACTGCGTGTCTGTTTGGCGTAGACTACTCCCGAGACCATGGAGGGCCGAGTACGATGGAACTGCTGTGGCCAGCCAGATTTGGATGAGGTGCTCGTTCTGTTTGTTAGCTGCCGGCCACCGGAATTAAATCGATCATTGTTCCCAGGAGGTCCTATGTTTGGAGAACGTGGTGGTGATGGTGGTGGTGGTGGTGGTGCATTTCCCACCCCAAACGGTGGAGTGCCAAACTGGGGTCCCTGGCCGAAGGGCTTTTGTGGTCCGAACATTGCACCTGGGGCACCGAATATCCCGTTTGGAGGTCCGAAAATCCCCCCGGGTGGGACAAATAACGGACCTGGCACTCCCGGAAACCTAGGAGGTGTGAAAGGCAGAGGGAACCGTGCGAATGGGGGAGCAATTTGTGGTGTTCCTGGCGGCATCGGCATCGGCGGACGAGCAAATGGCATTGGTGAGATAGGAGGGGCTAATTGATTGAAAGGCATTCTTGGACCCAACGGTCCTCTAGGTTGAAATTCAGGGCCGTTTCTGTTGCGTTTTGCTCGATCAACTAGTCGAAAAATTTCGTTCACTGTAATATCCTGTTCGGTAGGAANACCGGGTACCAGATACACCACTGTGCCATCACTTGACTGAAGCATCTGATAGGGCGGGTTCCGTTCCAGCTTCCCCGATGTCAAGGCCCGAATAAAACCGGGAACAGCACGGTCAGCTTGCGCATTTAGTTGTGACGACCTCGAACCAATCGGAAAACCTTGGTCATCAATTTCTATCCAACCATCATCCGATAGATCAGGAATATCTGAACCAAACAAAGTGGGCGCTGTCAATCGCTTCGACCGTTGTGGTTGTGCTATTTGTTGACAGTCTCCATTTGTGATCAGATAGCCGAATAAAGCAATCCAGGCATATATCCGAAACATTCCCACCTCGGAGAGAACTTCTTGACCAATGCTAGCACAAAAATGGAGTGCGTATTTCTGTTTTCCTCTTGTCGATTGATCCACAAGTCTGGTGCGTTTTAAACGATCTGAGTGTTACTCGAAAACGGTTGAATAAATCGATTTGCTGCGACCAAATGGTCTGATTTGAATATCGATCGAATCCAGTTTCGGATACGGAACGTGCACGTGATTTGACGTCAACAGTCTCATGCGGGGGGGGGAGGG